TCCTAAATCCTTTCGACACATTCTTCCTAAATCCCTTTTCGGACCACATTCTTTCCTAAATTCTTTGGACCAAATTCTTCCTAAATCCCTTTTTGGACCACATTCTTTCCTAAATCCTTTGGACCAAATTCTTCCTAAATCCTTTGGACCACATTCTTCCTAAATCCTTTGGACCAAATTCTTTCTAAATCCTTTGGACCAAAATCCTTCCTAAATCCCTTTTCGGACCAAATTCCTAAATCCTTCTTCGGACCAAATCTCCTAAATCCTCTTCGAACCAATTCTTCCTAATCCTTCTTCGGACCACATTCTTCCTAAATCCTTTTGGACAAAATCTTCCTAAATCCTTTTCGGACCAAATTCCCTAATTCCTTCGGACCAAATTCTTCCTAAATCCTTTTCAGACCACATTCTTCCTAAATCCTTGCACCAAATTCTTTCTAAATCCTTGTAACCAAATCTTCCTAAATCCCTTTTCGGACCACATTCTTCTAAATCCTTTGGACCACTTCTTCCTAAATATCCCTATTTTGGACCACATTCTTCCTAAATCCTTTGCGACCAAATTCTTCCTAAATCCCTTTTCGGACCAAATTCTTCCTAAATCCTTTGGACCAAATTCTTCCTAAATCCTTTTTCGAACCAAATTCTTCCTAAATCCTTTTTCGAACCAAATTCTTCCTAAATCCTTCTTGGACATATTATTCCTAAATCCTTTGACCAAATTCTTCCTAAGATCCTTTTCGACCCAAATTCTTCCTAAATCCTTGGACCAAATTCTTCCAAAATCCTTCTTCAGATCGAGTTCTTAAATCTTCTTCACGATCAAATTCTTCCTAAAATTTTCGGACCAAATTCTTCCCTAAAATCCTTTTTAGACAAATTCTTCCTAAATCCCTTTTCGGCCATATTCTTCCTAAATCCTTTGGACCACATTCTTCCTAATCCTTTAGACCAAATTCAATCCTAAATCATTCTTCGGACCATATTCTTCCTAAATCTTTTTCGGACCAAATTCTTCGTAAATCCCTTCTTCGGAATTCTTCCTAAATCCTTTGGATCAAATTCTTCCTAAATCCCTTTTCGGACCTAATTCTTCCTAAATCCTTCTTCGGACCATATTCTTCCTAAATCCTTTTCGGACCACAATTCTTCCTAAATCCTTTGGACCAAATTCTTCTTCCTAAATCCCTTTTCGGACCCCATTCTTCCTAAATCCTTTGGACCAAATTCTTCCTAAATCCTTCTTCGGACCATATTCTTCCTAAATCCTTTGGACCAAATTCTTCCTAAATCCCTTTTCGGACCAAATTCTTCCTAAATCCTTTGGACCACATTCTTCCTAAATCCCTTTTCAGACCACATTCTTCCTAAATCCTTTGGACCAAATTCTTTCTAAATCCTTTGGACCAAATTCTTCCTAAATCCTTTGGACCAAATTCTTCCTAAATCCTTGGACCACATTCTTTCCTAAATCCTTTTTGGACCACATCTTCTAAATCCTTTGAACCAAATTCTTCCTAAATCCCCTTTCGGACCAAATCCTTCCTAAATCCTCCTTCGAACCAAATCCTTCCTAATCTTTTCGACCAAAATTCTTTCCTAAATCTTTTTCGAACCAAATTCTTCCTAAATCCTTTTCGGACCATATTCTTCCTAAATCCTTTGGACCAATTCTTCCTAGAATCCCTTTTCGGACCAAATTCTTCTAAATCCTTTGGACCAAATTCTTCCAAAATCCTCTTCAGATCGAGTTCTTAAATCCTTCTTCAGATCAAATTCTTCCTAATCCCTTTTTCGGAACAAATTCTTCCTAAATTTTCGGACCAAAATCTTCCTAAATCCTTTTGGACCAAATTCTTCTAAATCCCTTTTCGGACCACATTCTTCCTAAAATCCTTTGGACCAAAACCTTCCTAAATCCCTCTTCGGACCACATTCTTCCTAAATCCTTTGGACCAAATTCTTCCTAAATCCCTTTTCGGACCAAATATTTCCTAAATCCTTCGGACCACATCTTTCCTAAATCCCTTTCAGACCAACATTCTTCCTAAATCCTTGCACCAAATTCTTTCTAAATCCTTTTGTACCAAATCTTCCTAAAATCGGACCATTCTTCCTAAATCCTTTCGGACCACATTCTTCCTAAATCCCTTTGGACCAAATTTCTTCCTAAATCCTTTCTTCGGACCCAAATTCTTCCTAAATCCTTTTCGGACCAAATTCTTCCTTCCTAAATTCTTCCTTATTCCAAACCTTCCCAAATCCTCCTTCGGACCAAAATCCCTCCCCTTAAATCCTCCTTAAATCCTTCCTCCCTAAATCCTTCCCCAGATCGGGTTCTTCCGGCGCAAGAGGCACCAGGCCGCCCAAGGAAAAGGAGGAGGGGACGAGGAAGGCCCCTTGACCGACCCCGGGGCTGAGGACTTCACGTGGCAGGACGGGGGCGCGGCAGAGGGGGGCGGGGAGGCGGGTGACCTTCCGGAGGCCCAGGAGACTCTGCTCGAGGATGAGGGAGTGGGGGAGTGAGGGGGGGTGGGGGGTGGGGGTGAAAGAGAGAGAAGGGAGGAGGAGAAGGATGGGAGGGAGGGGAGGTGGGAGGTAGGAGGAGGGAGAAGGGGGAAATGGGAGGAGAGGAGGAGGAAGAGTGGAGGGAGGAGGAGGAGAGAGGAGGAGGAGTGAGGAGGGAGGAGGAGGAGGAGGAGGAGGAAGGAGGAAGGAGGAGGGAGGAAGGAGGAGGAGGAGGAGGAGGAAGAGGAGGATAGAGGGACGGAGGAGGGTAATGGGGAATGGGGGGGGAGAGGGAGGAGGGATTGATTAGGGATAGGGAATGGATTATTAGAATGAAGATGAATAAGAAAAAGGAATAATATAGATATATAAGAGAGGAGAGAGAGAGAGGAGAGAGAGAGAGGAGAGAGAGAGAGAGAGGAAATAATCATGACACTGTACATATATGAACTCCTCTATTTTTATTGTCCAAGTCTTTGTTATCAATATTACCTCTGTACAAATACATTTTTTTCTATATTAGTGTTATTGTTTGTAATAAAATCTGGCTAATCTGTTGGATTTCGTTTGTTATCTAAAGAATCCGCAAAGGTGCTTCCTCGATTCAATTGTTTTTTTATGGAAAATATTTTAAAATTATTCCGTCTATTTGTAACGTTTATTGATCCACGTAAAGGCTTTCGTTTCAGTAATAATACACACGGATATATACTATATTCACACACAACACACCACACACACATTCACACACACACACACACACCACACACACAACACACCACACAACATACACAACACACACCACCCATTACACACACACACACACACACACACACACACACACACACACACACACACACACACACACACCACACACACACACACACACACACACACACACACACACATACATACAATACATAACATTATAATAACCATAACACACACACATATATTATGAGACCATAACCACACACACATATATTATGATATGAAAAAAAAACCTCTCCAAAGCACATCACGCCCGGACCTCTCTGAAACGCAGCGCAAACAGAACGAGCCTCCACCGCACAACAACGGCCCCACAATGAAGCAATATTGGCTGCAGATCACCATGCCGGACACAGCGCCGAGACCAGGACTCAGGGATCACGCGTACAAAGCCTCGGCGGACACTGAGGGAGCGCGTGTATAAAGCCATTAAGGGGGAAAGGCGATGGCAATACGAGAGCTTCTCCGGCGCTGTTGAAAATCAACTTGATAAGCAATAAAGAAAGTTTTGTTGGTTAAAATGGGGCAGAGGATAACGATCGCTCGCGTCTCTTGTTTATCAATGGCAACCTTTAATGTCGCTGGACCCTACAACACTGCCCTCATCTGCATATCAATGTGTGCAAGTGCTGGAGGGAGGGAGGGAGGGAGGGAGGGAGGGAAAGAAGGAAAGAGGGAGGGAAGGGGGGAGAGTGTGAGGGAGGGAGGGAAGGAAGAAGTGAAGAGAGAGAGAGAGAGAAAGGAAGGAAGGAGAAAAGGAAGAGAGGGAGTCATAGAATGAGGGAAGGAGGGAGGGGAGGAAGGAGGAAGGGAAGAGAGAGAGAGAGTGAGATAGGAGGGAGGGAAGGAAGGAAGAAAGAAAGGGGAGGTATAACGAAATGGAAAAGAAGAAAGATAGAAGTAAGGAAAATTGATCAGTGTGGAGAACGATGAATGAAAAGATCAGAAGAAATTGATAATATAGAGAGTTGGGTGCAAGATGAGTAAGATAGAGAGATACTGTTAGACAGATAGATAGTTAGGTAGGTAGAGAGAGAGAGAGAGAGAGAGAGAGAGAGAGAGAGAGAGAGAGAGAGAGAGAGAGAGAGAGAGAGAGAGAGAGAGAGAGAGAGAGAGAGAGAGACAGACAGACAGAGAGAGACAGAAAGAGAAAAGTAAAAATAACTTGATATCAAAGGTGAGTCAAAGTGCAGCGACTTAAAAGAAAGAAATTAGAATATTAACTACAAATAGAAGGAATGAAAACCAATAGGATGTCACGTGTTTTAGCAGAGAACAATAATGACATGGTGCTCAGCGGGAAGCGCATTCACAGAAAACGTTTTGATGACAGGAGGAACTTTAATATTTCTTATTCTACCAAAGAGGAACACAATGCTGAATAAATGTGTACATTCACACAAACATCTATAAAATATATGTGTGTGTGTGTGTGTGTGTGTACACACGTATGTGTGCATATCTATAACTATATATAACTATATATAATATATATATATATATATATATATATATATATATATATAATATATATATATATTTATATATGCACGTATGTGAATGTGTACGCACACACACAGTCAATCTTAGTTTATCTCTCTCTCTCTCTCTCTCTCTCTCTCTCTCTCTCTCTCTCTCTCTCTCTCTCTCTCTATATATATATATATATATATATATTATATATTATATATATATATCTGCTATATCTGCCTAAGGCG